TGTTTCCAGGTTCTGGCTATTACAAATAGTGCTGCTATAAACATAGCTGAGCATGTATCTTTATGATATGAATCAGCATTCCTTGGGTATATGCCCAAGAGTGGGATGGCTGGGTCTTGAGGTAGTTCGATTCCTAATTTTCTGAGAAACTGCCATACTGATTTCCAGGATCCCATTCTCTCTCTTTTTTGGACAAAAACTTGCTCCATAAATGAGGACGACTTAGAACTGATGGTTTAGAACTCCCTGTAGCTCCTGTTGATCTTGACCTTGTGATCCTCTTGCTCCAACCTTTCCTGAGTGCTGTGGTTATAGACATGTTCTTAATTATTTTTAAGATAATGATCAGAGTCTGTGAATACCCTAACTGTCATCATAGAACCTTTCACCAGTAACTGATGGAAGCAGATGCAGAGATCCACAGCCAAACACCAGGCCAAGATCCAGGAGTTCATTTGAAGAAAGAGAGAGAAGAGGGATTCTATGAGCAAAGGCATCAAGATCATGATGAGGAAACCTACAGAGACAACCAAACCAAACTAGTGGAAACTCATGAAATTTAGACCAACACCTGAGGAGCCTCCATAGGACTGGACTAGGCCCTCTGCATAGCGAGACAGTTGTGTAACTTGATCTGCTTAAGGGAATCCCTGGCAGTAGGATCAGAATTCATCTCTGGTGCATGAACAGGCTTTTTAGAGCCCACTACCTATAGTGGGACACTTCCCACAGCATTGAAGCAGGGGGAGGAGTTTAGACCTGCCTCTACTGAATGTACCAGACTCTGCGGACTCCCCGTAGGAGGCCTTACCTTCTTGCAGGAGGGAATGGGGGCTGGATTGGAGGGGGGAGGGTAAAGGGGTAGGAGGAGGGAAGAGGGGTATCTGTGATTGGTATATAAAATGAATAAAAAATTCTTAATAAAAAAGATAATGATCAGAGACTGTTGTGGTGACACACATCCTTAATCCCAATGCTTGAGAGACAAGAGATAGGCAGATCTCTATGAGTTGCAGGTTAGACTGACCTATATAGAGGATTCTAGGACAGCCAGTGCAACATAATGAGACCTATCAATATGTATAGAAAGACAGGCATAATATATGAAGTTACTATTTCTTCATAGTAGAATTTCATGTTTGTAGTTTTTATGTTTTCTGTTTAAGAAATAATAAACATATAATACTTTTATAGTCATCAAAATCACAATGAAGACTTAAAAATTTGGCATTGATTATCTACTAACTGTGTGAGCAAAATAGAAATAACAAATAGCTTGCTGATGAAGCAGAAAAAGCAAAAGCACCTATCACGTCTATATTTTTGTCCTTCATTTAACATATTTAAATTTGATGGTAAATTATGATAGGTAATTTATATTTATACAAATGCCTTTTCAGACTACTTACATGTCTATCTCATGACATATGCAATGGAACCTATATTATCTTGTTCCATTTTGAACTCCAAGCATTTATTGTTGTTTTGTAGAATTAAGTATATGGCATAGTGTTTTATAATATGGAGTCACTCTGGACAGATTTTATTTCAAATACACTATTGACCTATGTCCAAATTCTTCCAATGCATTATTAACTATGCTCTTGAAAATAGTATGCACTCACCTTTTTGCAGACAAAGTCACCAGGTAAATAAATAGTGGATTTCAATCTTAGCAGTAGGTCATAAATCATCTGTGTGTCACAGCCCTATATAAAAAGAATAATAATTTTATAGATGCAGCAAAAAGCAAACACCCTAAATTATTTTAAAAATAATAAAAGTAAATAGTCAATAGACATCTGTCTTCCTTTCCAAATGCTAACTTACAATGGATTTGTATTTGCCTTTACCTAAATTGTAGAGAAAAAAGGTATCAATATTAAGAGATTGTAACTTTATAAAGAAATATTTGGGGTGAGTCCTATCTCTTAAACCTATTAGTATTTAATCATGCTCTTCTCCTAAATTATAAAATAGTTATGAAAAGAGTACTCATAATTGAAACTTTACATGGTGCTTAATTAATGACAGCTATTAAAGATTATGCTTATGACATGTTCAGATTGTTGTAACAAAATTCAGTATTTGCTAAACAGTTTCTTTTGTAAAAAAACATTACTAGAGTTTTGATATTATTTAACTCTTTAAACTTATGTATATGTCTTTCTTCTCCAAAATAATTATCTTCTTAAAGATAGGAAGATACATATGAAAGCACTATCTGCAGTACTTAAATTATTGGTTGGAACCAGGGAGCGTCCATGGGACCAACTGAAGCTTTCTACATATATGTGATAATTGTATAGCTTGGTCTATTTGTGAGACTCATAACAATGGGAGCAGGGCTGTCCCTAATGCTTTGGCTTGCTCTTGGGAACCTCTTCTTCATACTGGGTTGCCTTGCCCAGTCTAAATACAAGGGGAGGTGCTTAGCTTTACTGCAACTTGATATGCCATGCTTTGTTGATACTCAAGGGAGGCCTGACCCTTTCAGAACAGAAACAGAGGAGCAGTGGATTGAGGCTGGGGATGGAGGTGAGGAGGGAGGAAAAGGGAGGAGAGGAAAGAGGGGAAAATGTGGTCCAGATATAAAATAAATAAATAAACTAAAAAAGTAAAGTATTGGTTGGGACAGTATATTTTACATAGCTATCTTTTAATGTCTACTTGCTTATTGGCTGACTATAGAGCCAATTACTTGCCTCGCCCAACTAAGCTCTATACATGCTATGGAGAGTGACTTTGTTTTCTTTTATTGAAAATAGATTCTTAGATCCTTTGCCATACAATATATCCTGACTATCGTTTTCTCTCCCTCTATTTCTCCAGTTGCTCCCCACCTCTTCTCCCCCTGGAACCACGCCTATCTGTCTCTCACTAGAAAAGGACAGGCTTCTAAGAGATAACAACCAAACATGACAAAATACAACAAAGTAAAGGAAAAACTATCATGTTGAAGTTGGTCACAGCAACCCAACAGGACAAAAAGAGTTCCAAGAAAGGGCACTAGAATCACTTGTTCTCAGTCAGGAGTCCAACAAAAATACTAAGCTAATAGTTAAAATATATGTGCAGAGGACCTCTTGCAGACCCCTGTAGGCTGTGTGCTTGCTGCTTCAGTCTCTGTGAGTTCATGTGTGTCTTGTTTAGTTGATTCAGAGGGCCTTGTTATCCTGCTGTCCTCTACCTCCTCTGGCTCTTATAATCTTTCCAATTCCTCTATGGGATTCCCTGAGCTCTGAAGGGAGGGATTTGATTTGGACCTCTTCTACTTTACACTCTTAATCCACATAATGTCTGGTTGTGGGTCTCTACATATGTTCCCCTCTGCTGTTGGAAGAAGTCTCTCTGATGATGACTGGATAAGACATGTCAGAAGGTTTCTCTGGTTCTGCCCAGCCTGCAGCTACTAGGACCCAAGTAAACACACAGAGGCTTATATTAATTATAACTGCTCAGCCATCAGCTCAGGCTTATTACTGACTAGCTCTTGTATTTAAATTAACCCATAATTCTTATCTATGTTTAGCCATGTGGCTTGGTGCCTTTTCTCAGTTCTGCCTTGTCATCTTGTTTGCTCTGTGTCTGGCTGGAGACTCCTGACTTTGACCTTCCTTTTCCCAGCATTCTCCTACTTTGCTTGCCCCATCTATACTTCCTGCCTGGTTATGGCCAATTTTATTAAACCAGTGTATAAGAGCATTATCCCATAGCACACTTTGATCTATGAGTATATCATAGTATAGATTTAAAATAATATTTAGAAATTATTTTATTGATTTTTTTTTCTTTTATGGACCAGTTTGTTCAGTTTTACCCTAGGTCTCTGGGCTATCTAGTCCTTGGTTCTTGGTTATACAAGCAGTGTTGGGTATGGGTTCCTTCTCGTGGAGTGGGCTTTGAGTAAATCAGACATTGGTGTGTTACCCCCACAAGTCCATGCCAACATTGTCTTAGCATATTTTGGAGGCAGGACAGGTTGTAGGTCAAAGGTTTTGTGGTCAGGTTGGTGTCCACATTTCTCTTTCAATAGTCTCTAAGGGATTTATTGCTTTCTTCCAATTTTTTATTTGTCTTTCCCTCAATTTCTTTATAGATTTCTTCCCATTTTTGTTTGACCTTTTCTCAATTTATTTATTGATTTTCTCCACTTTTTTGTTCAACTTTTCCTCAATTTCATTTTTCATTTTTTCTTGAAAGGCCTCTAGCATCTTCATGATGCTATTCTTAAGTTTGCTTTCTTCTGCTTCGTCTACCTTGTTATGTGCAGGTCTTGCTGTTGGAGAAGGGCTAGGATCTGGTGATGCTCTATTGCTCTTTATGTTGTATGTACTTCTGCCTTGACGTCTGTTTATCTCCTCGTGCATTCATTCTTGGTCTTATCAGGGCTCTTGGTCCAGTCAGAGCTGACAGATTCTGTGTTTCAGGAAGCTTCTCTTGGTCCAAGGAGAGGTGGCAGATTCTACTTCTCAGAAAGCCACTCTTGGTCTAATGAGGGCTGGCAGATTCCCTGTCTCCTGAGGTTACTCTTTGTCCAATGAGAGCTCTCTCTCTAGGCCCAATGAGAGCTCTCTGTCTGGGCCAGATGGGAGCTGGGGGTTTGCTGTGGATATCATTCTATATAAATAAAACACTGATGGCCAGTGACCAGACAGGAAATATAGGCGGGACAAGGAGAGAGGAGAATTGGGGAAACAGGAAGGAGGGAGAGACACTGCAGCCACCGCCAGGACAAGCAGCATATAAAGACGCTGGTAAGACACCAGCCATGTGGCAAGGTATAGATTTATAGAAATGGGTTAATTTAAGATATAAGAACAGTTAGCAAGAAGCCTGCCACGGCCATACAGTTTATAAGTGATATAAGCGTCTGAGTGATTATTTTATAAGTGGATTGTGGGACTGCGGGGCTTGGGGAACCTGGAGAGAAGCCCTCCAGCAACAGGGGTTGGTTTCCAAACCTCATGAAGTGACGGGGGTCTCAGGTGGATGGGTGTGGGGGCAGGGTGTGTAGATGGCAGGGTCCACTGGGAGGTCTTAGAGAAGGGGAACCTTCCTGCAGGAGCCCTGCCAGCTGGCTGGCAACTGTGGCTTAGTTGGGCAGCTGTTCCCCGGGAAAGGCTGGGGCCCAGGAATGGGTCCTAGGGGCAGGCCTCCTTGGGTATGAACAGTCACTCACCTCTGGGCTGGATCTCAATAGTCTCTAGAGTACCTTTCCATACCAAAGAGATTAGGCTCTATTTATGTATTAGCTCAACTTCCTCATGTTCAATGACTTGTGTGGATGTTGTCCCTAGTAAGGGGGCATACTGTCTTTTTTGCAGAGAGCAACCCTGTGTCTTAGCATCAGCCTGGGTTGTTTGTGAATTTCCATAAGATCCCCTTGGCCAACAACTCAATTGATTGCAACTAGAAGCTTTGCCCAACTAAAAGAGATGGCCAGTTGACACTCTGTATCCCCAATTATTAGGATGCCTCATTAGGATCACCTTCATAGATTCCAGGAAGTTTGTGCTGCACTAGGTTTCCATGCCACCCCCCAGTGTCTCCAATTCCAGTCATCTCTCCCTGCACTCTATTCCTCCAAGGCATCTCTTCCAAGCCTGATCCCTCCCATTCCAATCTCTTCCACCCCTAGTCTTCCCATAAATCTATTCTATTTCACCTTCCCAGGAGATCCATAAGCCCTCCCCCCTAAACTCCTCCTCTTTACCTAACCTCTTTGTGTCTACAGAGTTTGCTTGATTATGACTAACTTAGTGACTAATGTCCACTTATAAATGAAAATATATCATTTGTCTTTCTGTGTCTGGGTTACCTCACTTAGAATGATGATTTTTCTAGTACCATCCACTTGTCTGCAAATTTCATGATATCATTTTTTAAAACAACTAAATAATACTCCATGGCATAAATGTACATTTTCTTTATCCATTCTTCTGTTGAGGGACATGTAAGTCATTTACAGTTTCTGGCTATTATGAAATAAGCCACAACGAACATGGTTGAGCAAGTGTCCTTGTAGTAGGATGGAGAGTGCTTTGGGTATATGCCTAAAAGTGGTCTATCTGGGTCATGAGGTAAACCAATTTCCAATTTTCTGAGGAACCACCATACTGATTTTCACAGTGGCTATACAATTTACTTCTGCCAGCAATGGAAGAGTGTTCCCCTTGCTCCACATCCTCATCAGCATGATCTGTCATTTGTGGTATTAATTTTTGCCATTTTGATAGGTATAGGATGGAATCTCCAAGCAGTTTTATTTGCATTTCCCTGATGGCTAAGGAGGTTGAACTTTCCTTTTCTTTTCTTTTTTTCTTTCTTTTTTTTTAGTTTATTTTCATTTTTTGTTTTTTTTTTTTGAGGGGAGGAATTTAACATTTCTTTTTTTATTAAGAGATTTTTCTATTCATTTTATACACCAACAACAGATTCCCCTGTCCTCCCTCCTCCCACCCCCTCAGCCTTTCCCCTACAACCCATCCCCCATTCCCACCTCCTCCAAGTAAGGTCTCCCATGGGGAGTCAGTAGAGCCTGGTACATTCAGTTGAGGCAGGTCTAAGCCCCTCATCTCTGTGCCAAGGCTGTGCAAAGTGTCTCACCATAGACACTAGGCTCCAAAAAGCCAACTCATGCACTAGGGACATGTAGATGTAACAGTCTTATTAAACAAGAAACTCAGAGCCAAATGCAGAGTTAAAA